CTGGAGACCTGGATGCAGGCTCTGCTGGCTGGAGTGCTGTGTCTTCATTAAGTGATGTTACCAATCGCACACTTTCTGCAGGACCAGTACCTGGTGCTGTTTATTCAATCTCAGCTGTACCTGATACGTCAGAACCATCACCACCAAAAGATCGAGGTATTATGATGATGATGATGACTTTTAAATCACTGCCAGAAACTCCTGTATAACTGCTGTCAGTGGCTTGGTAGTTTCATAGAGGGGCTTATTTTGTTAGAGATATTGCCATATGCTTGGCCAGCGTTCTGTGATGGAAATGATCTTCCTGCAGTGAGTAAACTTTCATTATTAACATGTACCACAACAGTGCATTAGTTTTTAGTTACTCCAATGCAGATAGTTTCTAAGGTTTTGGAAGTTTATTTGCAGTTTATTTCTAAGGTTTGGAAGGATCAACTATCTTCGAGAGAATGGAGGTGAGCAAGCCTTACAGTTTCAGTTCACCAGTAGTTTCTATGTTCCCTAAGTAGATTCAGTATCTGCCCTTGGAAAGGAGCAGATAGGACAGGCATGGTGGCACACGCCTATAATCCCAGCACTCAGGACACTGAGGCAGGACTGTAGCAAGTTCGAGACCAGCCTGAGCTACAAAGTGAGCTCAAGGCCAGCCTGAACTGTATAGCAAGACCCTGCCTCAAAAAAAAAAAAAAAAAAAAAAAAAAAAACAGAAAAAAAAAGGAAAGGAGCAGATAATGTAAACACAGCTACATTCATTTAAATTTATCCAGATAAATGAAACTTTAATACTTTCAATTGGTACTTGGAAGCATTTAAATCTTAAACATTTCAGATGCAAAGAAAGTTAATACTAGAATTAGTTCCTAATTGGAATGACCTCCGGCTTAGAATAATCTGACCATGGTTTTGAGTCCTCTTACTAAGTTGTAGTGTGGGAGAGGGTGGTGTGGTTCGTTAAAGGTGTTCTGAGTGTGTGCGAGGGGAAGATTTTATCACACAACACAAACAACTTCATTGAATGTGACGCAGAGGTTTGAGGTCCTTTGGCTTCACCGGCAAGACTTTCCCATAGGCCGTCTTTCCGCAAGGCTCCAGCTCCTCATTGCTGGGCCTTCCCTTTCTCTCTTCACTCTGCCCTTGTCTTACTCTCTACAGACTCATTTTTCCTTTCCTAAGTTTGTTCTCTATTCCCTCTCAAGCCAAAGTCCACTTAAATAATCATTAGTATCTCTCCAAATAGAGAACCACCTATAGGCCATCCTTGCCTTTCATAGCACCAAGGAACTAGCCAGCCTTTGAGACATTAGTCTTGCTACTGGGGATTTGGAAGGTTCCTAGCACAGTAAGTTGTTTCTTCATCAGTCCCAACCATCAGAACTGAAACTGTGACACCTGGGGCAGCTGATGTGATGGTAAGAATGGAGGTGGCCCTGAATACGAGCATCCAAAGCAAATGTTCGAGGGGACTGGCGTATCTTCTATATTCTATTGATTGTGTTAAGTAGCTATAAAAAGTCATTATAATGACCTCTCATGCAGTTATCAGCCAGTTGGACATTTATTAACTTAGGGCCAGCTCACCCACTGACCCCGTCCCCAGGATTTTAAAGCAAGTCCAACATCTCATATTTCATTTATAAATATTTTAGTCTGTAAACACGTAGAATTTTTTTAAAAGTTAAAAATTTAGTCAATATTCAGATATCTCTGGTTGTCATACAATTTTTTTTAGTACTAGAGTACCAGGGATTAAACCCATGAAGTGCTGGGCTACTTTTTTATTTTCAGATAGGATCTTGCTAAATTGCTAAGGTGTCCAGACTGGCCTAAAACTTGCAGTCCTCCTGCCTCGGCCTCTTGACTACCTGGGACGACATGCATGCACTATCATAGGTGGCTCTATAGTTTGTTTGCAGTAGTTAGTCATTGAAAGCAACATCCCCATGGAGTTTGCATTTTGCGTTTGTGGGTGTGTCTATGAAATTTCTTTTAATTGGTAAATCTCTTACTTGTTGTGTTTGCAGTTTATTTACTGAAGAAACTAAAAATCATTTAGCTTCTCATGTTCTAGGTTCTGTCTGTTTAAATCCCTTTCTACCCTGTATTTCTGGCCGTGATGATGAGATTTAGAATGTCGATCACATATCGCTATTTATTAGGCTTTAAAAGCATGCCAAGCTTTGTTTATGAATCTTCACTGTTTATTTTTCTACAGGTGATGGCATTGCGCTGCCACAGAAAATTCTTTTTCCCTCAGAGAAGATTTATCTTAAGTGGCAGAAAACGGATGACATTGGCGCTGGGCTTCAGAATCTGAGCAACACCTGTTATGCCAATGCAGCATTACAGTGTTTGACATACACACCACCTCTTGCCAATTACATGTTATCCCAGGAACACTCCAGGATGTGTAAGTGTTACGTGCTGTGGTGTGTGTGTGGACTGTGCTATGCTAACCTACTCATTTTTTTCCCTCTGAAATGAAGAGAATTAAGTCATGTTATGTGATGATTAAGAAGTTGGTTTATTCTTTTAGAATCCAGGATTAGTATGTAGCTTGCATAAGAAGCATATTGCAAAAAAAAAAAAAAAGCATATTGCATCCAATTTGACCTGGGGGTGGGTATTTAAAAGGAAACCCATTTTCTCATCATGGAGCACTTCTAATCCCCTTGTAGTTTTCTACACTTTTAAAAAATATTGTGTGTGTGTGTGTGCGCGCGCGCACACACTGGGGATTGAACCCAGGATCTCACACAAGTCAGGTAAGTGCTTTACCACTGAGCTACACCCCAGTTCTTACACTCGTTAAAAATGTGACATAATGTCTGACATGAACGGTTGGGACAAACAGGGTTAAGAAATCCCGCCTCTGGCATGCATTGGAAGGCTTGATTCATTTTCAGGCTTCTGAGCCCAGGAGGAGAAGAACTTTGACTACTGCCCCAACCTCATGGAATTCATACAGGGCTTTCCTTTTAGCATTTGAGAGCTCCATCTTTAAACCGCAGGGCAGAAAATCAGTTAGAATATATGAAGATGTCTTGAAATAGAAGCCAGCTCAGTGTGGACTACAGAATTTGAGAATTTAGAATGTCCACGTTTGAGATTTCTGACCTCTTGCATATCCTGATTATCTGTCATGCTTTCTAAGGGAAAAGCTTTCTCCCTGTTCTTTGCTCTGAATTGATGTATGTATGCTCTGGTGCTATTTGTCAGTGATTTGGTTAAAATAAGCAAGAAACCTCCCTAGTTTCTTCCTGCATAATTCTTTACTGAATGCAGAATTTACAATGATTGTTCTACAACCGTTTTTCTGTGCAAAGAGCAAATTCATACTTGTAAAGTATTTGGTAAGGACAGAAAAATTTAAACCAAGGGAAATCACCTAGAATGTCGTCACCTAGGTGTATTCGCTATGCCAGGGGCTTTAAATTACAGAATGAATATTTCGTTTGCCCTCTTTCTAAATCCATAATTCATTCTCCACAGCCAGTTTTCCTTTCACTTTTGTGCTTAGTGGAAGCAGGGTGTGGTTGAAAATCCAGTACTGGCATTGGGATGGCAAGAGAAAGTGTACATGTCCTATATATCTTTTGTCTTCTTTCATTACATTTACACCTTTCCTCATCCTCCTCCTCTTCCTCCTGGTTTGTTTGTAGTTGTAAGTAGTATTTTATTTTTAATTTTGACATCTGTGTGGTCCTTGCAGGAATATACAGATACATTTGATTTCTGCATCATGTTGATCTTGTACACTGTGACCTTGCTGAAGGCATTTACTAGCGCCAGGCTTTTTTGTTTCTGTTTTTTGGACAGATTCCTTGAAATTTTCTACATGCACAGTCACATCATGTCATGTGCTCCTCAGGACAGTTTTACTCATACTTTACTCATCTGTTGGCCTTATTGATTTCCTTGTTTTATTTTCTTATTTCCCTGGCTGGATCTTCTAGCACTCTTTGAGGAAGGGTGTTAAGAACAGACATCCTTGCTTCTTTTCTGATATGAGGGGGAAAACACTCAATTTGCTGTGCCCATTTCTATTTTTCTGATTGCTTTTTATCCTCAAGGTATACGGATTTTTGTCAAATGCTTTCTGCATCAAATTGATGGAATCATGTGATATTTCTTCCCCTCCTCCTCCTCCTCCTTCTTTTGCCTCTTCTTATCTTTTTGAGACAAGGTTTCACTATGCAGTGCAGGTTGGCCTTGAACTCCCTCGTAGCCTAAGTTGGCCTCAAATTTGCAGCGATCTTCCTGCCTCAGCCTCCTTAGTGCTGGGATTTCAGGTGTGCGCTACCAGGCCTGGCTTGGTATTTGTTTTTTAGCTTGTTAATATAGTGAATTACATTGGTTGATTTTTATATTATTTCTACATACCTAGAATAAATTCTGGTCACAGTGTGTAATTCTCCATTATAGATTGCCCAATTTTATTTGCTAATAGGTCAGTAAGGATTTTTACATCTGTACTCCAGAGATATTTTCTGTATTTGCACTCTTTGTCTGGTTTTGGTGTCAGTGTAAAACTAGCTACATAATTTTGTAGCTAGTTGCGATGAACTAACTGCTTTTTGCTGTTTTTTTTTGAAGCAATTTTATAGAATTGCTGTTAGTTCTTTTTAAAATGTTTAGAATTCTCCTGAGCAACTATGTGGCCTTGGAGATTTCTTTTTGGGAACTTTCAAATCACAAATTGAATTCTCTTAGTAAGTATAGGGTTACTGAAAGTATTAATTTTATATTGGATGAGTTGTGGTAGTCTGCTTTTTTGAGAAACTGGTCTATTTCTTCTAAATTTATGTGTATAAAGTATGCACAGTCTTTACTATCCTTTTGATGTTTACACCCCGAATTAATAATATCCCCAGTTTCATTCCTGATATTGGTAATTGTTATAAATTTCCCTTTTGGCACTGCTTTGTGTCCCCAAATTGTATTTTTATTCCATTTACCTATATTTTAAAATTTTTCTTGAGTGGCTGGGTATGGTGGTAAAAGCTTATAATCCCAGTACTCAGGAAACTGAGGCAGGAAGATCGATGTGACTTTGAGGCCAGCCTGAACTGCATAATCAAACCCTGTTTCAAAAAGACAAAAAAAATTTTTTCCCTTGAAATTCTTTGATCCTTGAATTATTTAGACATCTTTAGTTCCAGTTATTTGGAGATTTTATCTTTCTCTTACTGAGGTTTAGTTTTGATTCCATTGTGATTGAAGAAGACTTTAAGGGTTTTGAGGCCTCTCAAACAAATGTGTATTCTGCTCTTGGTGGATGGAGTATTCTATAAATGTTGATTTGATTTTATGGCTGAGAATATTGTTTTTTCAATATATTTTATGATTTTTCTGTGGAATTATTCAAGGAGTCATTGACAGAAAGGTTTTGAGGTTTCCATCTCTAAATGTAAGTGTTCCTTTGTCAAGTCTCAGTTTTGAGTTTGATTCACAAATTTTTCAGCTTTGTTGTTTGGTACAAACACATTTAAGGTAGTTTTGTCCTTTTTCTTTTTTTTTGTGGTGGTGCTGGGATTGAACCCACGGCCTTCACAGGTTAGCAAGTGTTCTGCCACTGAACTAAACCAGCCCTTGAAAATTTTCAAGCAGTCTTGCTAAGTTGCCCAGGCTGGGCTAAAATTTGTGATCCTCCTGCCTCAGCTTCCCAGTTACTTAGAATTACAGGTGTGTACCACCACATCTTGCACGACTGCTGTTGTCTTAATAGGCTGACCCTTAAATATGTAATGCATCAATTACAATAAATATATAATGTTCCTCTGTCCATTCTGTCCATCTGTCTATCTGTGTCATTCATTCATTCTTTCATTCATTTTGTATTGGAGATTGAATCCAGAGCCTTTGTTCTGCAGTGTAACTTTATCAGACATTAACATACTTTCTTTTTCTTGAGTAATAGCTGCACAGTGTACCTTTTCCATCCTTTTACTTTCAGCCTGCTTGCAGCATTACATTTGAATTTGGTTTGTTATAGACAGCATATGGTCGGATCATGTTTTTTAATGCATTTTGTCAATCTTTGTCATTTATTTGTTTGTTACTGGGAATGGAACCCAGGGCCTTCACACTGAGCTATATCTCCACCCCATTTTTCACTGTTTTCTTCTTTTTCTTTTTTTGAGACAGGGTCTCACTGTAGAGTTCAGGCTGCCCCTGAATTCGCTATGCAGCCTGGTTTTAAACTTGTGGCAACCCTCCTGCTTCAGTCTCCTGAGTGCTGGGATTATAGGCACGTGCCACCATGCCCGACCACTTTTCATTTTGGAACAGTTCTTGCTAAGTTTTCCAGGCCTGGCTCATATTTGTGATTCTTCTGGCTCAGCTGCTCAGGGAGCAGGACTTACAGGTGTGCACACCACACACCACTATGTCTTTTAATTGGTGTATATAGAACATTAGAGTAAGAGGATTATTGATGTACCAAGGCTTACTGTGCCATTTTATGTTCTGGTTTTTGCTTGTTCCCTTCATTTTCTTTCTTTCTTTCTTTTTTTATTTTTTATTTTAAAGAGTAAGAGAAGGATAACAATAATGGGGGGGG